TCGAATAAAGACATTCCTAGATATTCTAAGTAACAGCTTCTTCCTTTACTAACCGTGACAAATATAATTTTAAAGCACTCAATTCCGAACAGTAAAAAACGCGGATGCTGCAAAGAATAGAAACCTGCTTAGTTCGCCAGAGGACACTATCAAAGCCGATTTTCACCGATCATCATCATTCCCTTAACTAATTAGTCGTTTCCGTCGAGTACGTTCGTCGCAAAGAAATGCCGAGATTTCGTCATAACGAGTATACTCGTCAAAGTAACAGGTAACTCACCCTTCCGGCCCTTTTCGGGGACACACTTTTCAAAGAGGTCGCAAACAGCTAACTAGTTAAGCAGCAAACATTCTCAAAGAGCGTCGAGTCGCGTTGGCTCCACGAAAATTCGCAAATTTTCCGCAGAACACGCGAACATAATTTGGTGAGGGCCGGGAGATCAGCTCCGTGGCCACGTTTAAAGTCGTCCCGGTTAGCCGAGGAGCTCTCCCCGGATTTATTCATGGCCGAGACCCACCGGGTGACTCCTTTTTCGCGAATTAGCCGTTGGTGTCGACGCTTTAACACGCTTAATCTGTATCCAACTATGGCGATACACGTTCCGGCATATTTCCATGGCATTATGCAAAGAGGCCGCGTCGGGTAACATTACTTCGTACAACGCCGCCCATCGATACGGTACACAAACTAAGTGTACGTGTGTTTATGTGAGAAAGAGAGAGAAAGAGGTGAAGACGAAGAGGGAGAGAGAGGGAGAGATAGGGAGAGAGAAGTGTCGCAGGTAAAGCTTCACCGTTGCCCCCGTGCTTACTCCATCGATTTATTATAATTTAGATTGTCTTCTTAGAAGCCGAGTGTACGTGCACGTACGTATACATAGGAGACGCCTTAATGCGCTGCCGTTCGTTAATTATTCCTCCGGCAGCCCGTAAATATGCATGAATTATATATCGCCCGGCACGAAAGCGCGGGTATACGGGTCCAATGATTAATACACGCCGCGGATATTTTTTTTTTTCTCTCCGCCTTTTGCCGTCGTTCCCCGTTTTCGATTCGCGTTTTCGCGATCCTTAGCCACGGGTTTAAGTATTATTAATCGCGCGACGTGTATCGCGCGATCGCGTCTCGCGTAAACGGTATCGCGAGTTTATAATAATTGCTTGGTAATTACTTTAATAACGGAAAATTATGTGTGCCCGGACGGTACGAATGCACCGTGTCCGCCTATTCAATATACGGACAAGAATATATAAATTGAGAGCTGGTAGAGTTTTTAACGAGAGATTGTATGCCACTTACCAATTATGCAGGGGAATTAATTATTCTCACATGAACGTGTTATAAGATACTTCGATCCGATTATCGGTGTACCCGTCCATAAACTGATCTCCCCGCAAAAATCCAATAGTATACCTGCAGCCTTGCGATAAAACGACCAAGACACCTCGTACCTAATAATTATACCCAATCTCCGCGAAACAAAATAATCAGCATTAAGCAGATAATCGAATTAACCCGGCGAATTATAATCTCCGCGCCGCGAGTAAGTACACGTGCGCCGAATATCGCATTCGACCGATTTCCTAGACCGGCAGCGGACGGGCGGGCGGGCGGGGCCGCCTTTGTAATCGCGGGTACAATAAAAAATATTCAGTAGCTCGATTGCCAATATATCGCGGCCGCGCCGGGGCTGATTGAACGGGCGGCGCGGTGTCTACAATCGGCCGCGCGCGAGCCCGTTAATTTGCCCGGTGCGTGTCGGCCGGCACAATAGAAAAATCTCGCGATGCAAATTATTTAGGTTTGCACAATGGTTATCCGGGTCGGAATGAGTCTGCAGTTTTTCGACGCCCGGTCGGGGCCCGGTGTCCCGGCGCGCTTAAAATCGTATTATCGCGGCCGGATTTCGGTTAACGAGCTTCATTTTGGCCCGAAGAATCGCCGGTGAAAGAGGAACGCGAAACCGTCTCCGCGCGATGATCGCCCGTCGCGTTTCACGAACGCCGCCGATTGAGAAATCGGAAGCGCGATCGGCACGCCGACGACCCTTGGCATCGATGCACGCGATCTTTACGTTACCCGCCGAACGATTCGGCTCTCTTTTCGATCCCTGGCATCGTCCGCGTGCGTTTAACCCCTTGACCTACAATACTATGTTGGACTAGCGATGAAAATTTTAAACTGAATGTGAGAAGTCTAAATGTTATTTATTTCCTTTAAATATGAGTCATATATTAGTTGTCTATTATCAATCGTTAACGTTTGGAGTGAACATAGACGTAGTACAAGTATTCAGATTCTTTTGCTAATAAGTCATTAATGATGAAGCAGTTACATTGGTCATAATTAAGAAATCAATAGGGAAAGAGGTTAACCCGAGTGCTATGGGCGCATTATTCAACTTGGTAAAACTGAGGAATTACAATTTAATTACAACGTTATTAATTCTATGAGTTACCATATTATATCGATCTTCAGATGAAAAATATTCCGTCACCGCGGAATAATTCGGCTGGTAGTATTCAGCACTGAACTAACTAGCTCTATAATCGTGTTAGACTCGCGACGAAGATTTCCAATGAAATTTAACAAACAACACTATTCAATTCTTCTGAATGGAAATTACATATTAATCCTATCAGTGACGATACTTTAGAGCAAACCATGATATAGAGCAAGCCTAGAATTTTCTCTTTCCAATGAATTCTTAACAACGAAGCGGTTAGATCGATCAGAGTTCAGAAAGAAATCGTAGAACAACGGGTTAAAGCCCTGCGCGTCTACCATTATTTCGTAGTGAAGCATTTTAACGTCGGCCAGTTGAACCGTGAATGATTATTAATCAATTTTCAGCGTTAAACTTGCCGCCGCGATAAAAACCGCGGTACGTTAACGAACCACGCGCGTATAATTGAGCATTTCGGCAGGAATGATTGCCAGCCTCCAATAAAACCTTTGCGCGACCCGTTCGATTGATTTCGGTCAGTGTAAGGTGGAGGGGAGAAAAAGAGGGCGACGCCGTGGATTTTTTAATGGGCTGGCCCCCTCGTTACGGAACGCCTGCGAGCCTCTCCCGCCGGAAATTTAATGCCGTTTTGAGAGAATAATAATAGTAATAACAACGAAACGTCTTTATTACGATGTGGGATCAAAGATGAACAAACCCGCGCGTGGTTTCGCGAAATAAAAGGAACGCCGTTTAACGTAACCTACGCGCGTGTAAGGACACGCCGGGCAAATAATAAAAGAAGGAAGAGAAACGGGGTCGCAATAATATTTAACAATGCGCCGTGACATGTATATTTATGAGAAAATAAGTGTAAAGCCCGCGCCTCCGCGTGTCCGCGTTCAGGTCTAACCTAATGAAGCGTGGAGAATCGTTTTAATATTCTATGCGTGAATTGTGAGTCGACGGCCGCCATAAAACTGAGTTATTTTGTATTTTTACGGTTTCCGCGGATTCAGCGGAGGCGCGGCCGGATTCAGCGTTCAAGTCGAGGGGAATTTGTTGCGATTTTTGCGGCAACGAACGGCGCGCTACGTGCTTCGCGTTTCGGAAGATATTTATTCGATCGTCGATGAACAACTTTATGATGTTTAATGGAAACGCTCGCTTTCGGGCTATCGTACTCTCGACGGAATTATCCGGAGCCAAGCGTTTCTGTCTTTTCTTTGTTAAAATTCTGATTTGCGCGCAGCCTTTGGATAACGAGGTTTTCTTTGAAGAAATTATGCGATTCGCGTGGAACGCGTTTATCTTATTATATTTTCAAACGAATCATTCGTAGCTAAATATTGACCCTACTTTTTTGGATTTGTAGAGCCTGGAATATTTTATTTTTTTGTTTCACGAAACTTCACGATTTGTGAAGCGAATTTTGGAATATTTTGTAAAGTTTAGAACATTTCATTTTCGTGTAGTACGTGGACGATGCGGTTTTCTTTAGAGAAACTTCACGGATTGCGAAGCGGATTTTGGGAAAAATGATCAACAGTTCTCGGTTGGGGACACACTTTCCCCGGCCATTATCGCCTTATTAATTTTTGAAACGTCACCGGTGCCACCTCGCGCGCCGGAGTTCCGAGATGGAAATATAGCCGAAAGCACTTCGCGGTGCACGCCTGTTGCCATCGCAACGGGCCAATACTTTATAATCGTTATCAATACGGTATAAATACAAGGTTTCAAACGCAGCGTAATAAACGAAATAAAGTATGGCCAATCTCGTTGCAGATCGGCCGCGCTGACTTTCCTCTCGTTTCCACCTATTCGCCGCCCTCCGCGATCGCAATTAATAACATTTTTCTCTGTTTGCCTTCTTTCAATTTTCATTAACGTAAAAAAGAAAATACAGGAACCAGCGGTTCTCGAATTCGCTGAACGCCGAGGCGTTCTGTCATGTATGAATTTTCCAGCGTTGCCCGGTGAATCTGGGTTCGCGATGATCACTGTCAACAAAGGGAAACAAGCAGTACATTGTGAGTGAAATTATAATGAATTTCAAACCAGTATCACAACATATTGCCTTATATAATCTCTAAACATCGGCATATAATGTATCAAATTACTATCATTGGCATTCGGAATTATCAACATTCGTATAATTAGGATCCTAACACGTTTAGAAATCATACGTAATTAACGCATTGCGTACTGGAAACGAGAAATCTCGTTTTTATTTGAACCTATCTTTCTGACTTTGCTAACTACCAAACCATTTAAAAAGATATTAAATCTTAGAACTGATTACTTGTGGAATATTTATTAAATAATAATAAGATATCTGAATATTTTGCATACAGTGATATGTCACGAACTTATATGTTGATCTCATTGAAAGATCAGCTTGTCTTAATATTGTTCATGTTTTCCCAGTTCTCTGGAACGAAAGTTATGTTGAAAATTCAGGTTGATGCATGGAAGACTGGTATCAATGGATTTTGCTTGTATAATGAGATTGACATCTGACTGACGAATTCGAATTTCCGTTTGTTACAGGACAGCGATAGGAGTAGCGCTGGCAGTCCAGAGCCGGCCACAACCATCGGCTCGCTCTATGAGAGCCAGATGATGATGGACGAGCTGAAGAACTCGCGGAAGAGGCCTGAAAATCTACATCAAGCGAAGCGGGCGGCAATGGCGCAGGCACATCTTAATGGGACAAGTGAGTGGAATTTTCCTACATTCTTTTCTTTTCATTCTCTCGTTAGATCTCTTGAAAAGTTTTTGCAGAAATTTTATACTCTTAATATACAATTAGCATTGAAATAACATTCGACTTCATTTTGAATCTTCATACTAAAAATATTCATTTTTATAGAACTTAATCATTCACTCGGAGTTTTGAATGGATAAATTGTAATATAGTGAAATCGATGAATTTTTTTGATAAATACTAGATGTTGAATTTTTCTGACGTTATTCTCGTCTGAGCTTCTAAAATCAATGTACCTTTTCCATCGAGCAAAAATCAATTTCTTCGGTTCGGACGGTTTTCAATAAGCTCGGTTTTATTTCACTGGCCAAAACACCAGAACGAGTTACCATTCTACTGGGAATTACAAACTCTCACCAATAAATCGAACTGGCTAGTAGAATGTGAAATAATACTCCGTGGAAATTCTATTTACACGTTGCACGTTTAAATAAGATTGAAACTACATGTAAACTTAATTGGCTACAAACTGATAAGCTGGTGATACTTTTCACGATCATTGATTTTCCATGGCGATTCTGTAATCTTTTAATTTCATGCTACAGACAGATGAAATGTGAATTGTATTTATATTCCATATGCTTATAACATTAACCCGCATATCCACTCGAGAGTTTCCTCCGAATAATAGCTCTGACACTTGACATTTACTTAATAATAGAATCTATCATACAAGCTTACGATATTTTACCATATTAATTACCGACTTTCTCACATCAGTTTTAATTTACGTTATAACGACAGTAATTTGATGTGTTCATCCTCTCGTACACGTGTTCACCGGTACTTCTAAATAAACATATTGCACAAGGAAGCGAAAAATTCTAAGCTGTCGATGATTCGATCAGGATACAAGATTTTTCATTTCTGTTTTCGACAGTGGCCGGCATGGTGACCCTGCAGAACCTTCAGAATCTGGCGAGTCTGCAAAACCTGCCGCAAGTCGCCTCGCTAGCCGCGGGTCTCCAGGGAATGACAGCGGGGCTGACTAACAATCAGCTCATCAACACGCCCTTGAATCTCACTGTCAGCTCATCCGGTAGGACTTCCAATTGTCGATTCAAATGGAAACGCGTGTCATAAGTGACGTGAAATTTGAAACCTTCTCCCCCCCGTTTGAATTTTATTTCGTGCCGCTAATTATCTCACCCTTGAACGACCGTGGACCTAGTAATTTCATACTTCGCTCGTGTACGTAGAAAGGGTTCCACGCTCGAGATTTGAATTTTAATTCGGCGTTACATTAATTTATTCCAAACCCCATTACCTCGAAGTGCGTCATTTCGCATCCGAAGTATGATTTTTTTTTCGTGTAACCACGGAACCAAAGGAAAATATTTGAATATTCTTTATTACTCATTCGCGACAATATTTAATTGCTAATTATACTGTTTATCCGTACGATAATTTATAAATTCATGAAGTACGGAATCTCCAGAAAGCAATTATTACAAAATATATATATTAAAAACCTGTAAACATAGCGGCGCGCAATTTCAGATTTAAAACGATATTAAAAGTACGCGTTTTATTGTATGAAATATAAAAATTAATTTGCACAGGTGAATGTTCGTAACAACCATAATTATATAAAAATATACGCTACACGAACGTATAGTATCGCCACCGTCGATCGGAGGATACGACGGAAATAAATTTATTTTGATTGTGGTACGCATGGCAAAATCAGCTGACGATTTCGATGAAACCGGTTTGAAGGGGAGATAAGTTAATGACGACCATTTTAAATCCGTGAATCCCGGTGTTCAGGTGACACTGTCCCAACAGCCTCGAGTACGACGACTGCGCCGCACCTCCTGCCACCAAGTTCGGCGCCAATGGCGACATTACCTCAGCTATTATCTCAGCCGCAACCGGTTGCAATACCTCAATTCATCCTAACGTCCGGTCAATTGGTTCAAGGCATTCAAGGGGCTCAGCTTCTTATCCCTACGTCGCAAGGTAAGCCTTCTGTTTCTTATGTATCCGCGCCCTTTCAACGTTTCAAATGACCATTGATTGACACCCATTGAAACTTCCCTCTTCTTGATGGTAATAAGACCGTCAACGGTGAACGTGTCACGTAAATCGATGGTGGACCTTCAAGTAGTCTTCAATGAGCTGACTTTGCAATAGGCTTCAATTAGAATTCCACGTTCGCGAAAATCACATATCTCAACCATTCCTCTCGACCGTTTCATTGTTTCACGTAATAATAAGGAATTATCCTTCCTCTAAATGATTCTTATAAAATCGGACACCAGATCATTAAATAATCAAACATGTAATCTACAACACATTCTTAACTACGTTACCGTTCATTCAATACCCATTCATACCCAAAGGATTCGAAACATTTCATTACCTAAAACCCACAAACTTTTTAACTTCATTAATCAAACAAAACATTCTCCATCGATTCATTTCCAATCTCAAATTCCCATACATCTTAATTCCTCCTGACTCTATTCCCTATGATCCCTTCAGCAATAAACATTTATACCAAACCCTTCTCTCGAAAAACGCTCGAATCCAACAGCCAGAAGCCTTACATACGAAATTTAATTAAACGGCTGCTAGATAAAGGGCCCGCGATAGATAGCCACCGTCGTCGTGACGTAGGCCCGGCAAGAAATCTCGACCGATCACCCCCGCTAAGCGTCGTCGAATTTTGGGGTCGAACGTAAATCAGTCCGAGTGGACTCATCGGGAAATCTGCACGATGTGCTTGCGCATAATGTTGTGCAATCAAGATGTGCCGATATATAATATATATCCACACACACACATACACACACACACGTACACACACACACACATATATATATAATATAATATCGACTATCTCTGACCAGTTCGGACCAAGGCTCGCCCCGTCGTCCATACTTAGTGGTCCTAGACTAGCCCGGCGAGCAGAGGGCAAACTCTGCAACTAATTTCAATGTATAATTAACGTCTCACTACCCCTTTCCAGACCCACGAATAACTCGCCCCTGGCCTCCCAGCCCGTCCCGGTTACCCGTCCCTCCGCCACCCTAACCGTAGGTACTCTCCTCTCTAGCTGGACATCACAGCTCCGCGGATTCGGCCGCTATTATATCGATTGCGGTTCGCGCTAACTTCGTTTCTACCAAGTTGGGTTCCTATTCTGGCAATTGAGAGGGAGAGAGAAAGGCCGAGAGACGGTCGACGGGTATCGTAAGGGGGCACGGGGCCGGGTGGGGTGTCGGGCACGGTTAGGGGATGGGGCTCGGGAGGCGAGAGAAGGGTAAGGAGAACTTTGGGAGTCCGCCTAAGTGGATTGAAGTTCGTGGATATGGACCAGTCGTGGTAGGATGACGAGTTACGTGGTGGCAAATAATGTTTGCACTGCTTCCCCGGCTCAATCGATGCTAACTGACTAACGCTCGATTGGTTTCTGATCGGCGGCGATGAAAGAGGCCGAAGCGTTCTGCCGGGACCGATTTTTGCCGCGACCGCCTCGCGCGGAGCTTGAGGATGGATTCAGGGAGCGAACTTGCTTCTCGCGAGGCTTCGTTTGTTGGGGAATTGAATTTGAATGTTGGGTTGAATCGTAGTTTTGTTGGTAATTGCTGATCGTCGAGTTGGATTTTTGGGAGTTTCGAGAGATTCGAATTTATGGAAATGTTATTGATCTAATTTTGGTTTGCAAGTTGTATCGATGGATCTGAATTGGATTGGAATTATTAGGTTGTATTCTAGGTTGGTACTTTTCTGAAGGAAATATATGATTATTAAGGGTCTATGTAATGATTTGCGATGATGTAAAGGATCTTTTTGTGGAGTAAAAGGTACGGAGTCTGAATGTTATGTAGTTTGAAATAATTACACGAGGATTACATACGCCTGCACGATATATGTCAGATGACCAGTAAATAAACTTTATTATACTTTGAAAGTGTTCGACTGTAATCCTTTATGTGCTTTACTATCTCTCACTCGGTTACACTGGCTATAAATATTGTTAATAGTACATACAACGCCGGTCAAAAATATTCCTTATTAATGAAGAAGGAACGTATCCTTCTGCGGTGGTTTAACGATACTCATAACAAAATGGAATACGGATAATTGATATAACTGCTGACTACACAAGTTTCATTGGATCGTTATAAAATAATATTGTCTTTTTTCATTAACACGTTCACCTTACGATCGTGTCCGTAATGGGTCATGATGGCTTTAGAAAGTTAATAAGTCACACGTAGTTGAGCATAACGAGTGCCACGATTGCAATTAACCTGGAAGCCATTTTGAAACTAATAGGTTGACATAGTGTGCTCCTTGAATGGAAATCATCCATAATTTTTCATCGCACCGATAAAAAGGATCGAGACGCAATTGAATTACGTATCGTTACTCAAGCAATCGTACAATCGTATACTGTCGCTCGCATAATTGAAAGATCGAATCATTCGAGATTTTTCAGTAATATTCGAAACAATTAGATTACGCGTCACACTCGAACGATATACAATATTACCGCGATATTTGTTACTTTTATAATCAGAACACATTTACAATTAATAAATGCAGCGAAATAAAATCAGCTCCCGTATCGATAATACGATTGCACACGTTCGTTTCGGACGTGTATATACGGGGACCAGCTCCTTTTTAGTTGTAACACCAATTTCGTCACATCCTGTATCGGCTAACCGATCAATCGCTCGTCAGCGGACTGTTTTCGCCGTGATCACTGACTAGTTTCCCCCAGTGAGTCGCTCGACGTCGGTATTCCTGGGGGATCGAATTAATTATGTAGAAAGTAGGAAACGTTTAAATACCTGCCGTTTAACCGTAAACATTTCCGTGATCCCGAACTGCCGGTCAACATTGGACAAGGAATATTCAGTTTTAAAAAAAGAACGAACCGGACGGGGCACAAGATTCCGCGAATAATTTGTCCGACCTCGATCGATACGATTGAAAGCAATAGTTACTGAATCATTGATACCCCTCAGTGGTTCATCGAGCATATCCGCATCATTGATAACGAAAATAATGAACCGACGAATATTTGAGAGGAACGTGTAAGAATAAGTTATCAGCGGTCGTGTCGGCTGTAGATTATTTTAGCGAGCAACGTGATGCAGCCACGAAACGAAATGGGTCAACCGGAGATCCTGGATTAATGATCCGAAGCTAGCCAGTTCATCTCGAACAGGCAACGACAGGGGCGCGTTGCAATACACTTTCAATTATAATGGAACTTAATTTTTTTAGATCGCTGCATATAAAATCACGTCTGGCTACTCGATGCGCTGATTCGTTATTTAGCTTCGCGCGCCATTGGGAGATATAACCAGAGAATCCCATTAAGTGTATCAAGAATTTATCAATACACACTGTCTTGTATATTCTGTTGACATTCGTTGGAATTAATTAATGCGAACAAATGAAGCTTTGATAACGTGCCGGATAGACTTTTTATATAGCTTCGAGACTCGGAATCTAATACTTTCTCTCTCACGAATGTTTTACCGTGCAATTATCATTCAGATGCCACTGTGAGCCGAATCTGCGACGATCTCTTAAACTCGGAAGAAAGACAATAATAAAATATTCATAAATCATTCGACACGTTTCAGTTATTCGCACGTGAATATCTTCGATGTTCCACATCCGTAGCTCCGATAATACTCAAATTTGAAATCTTGCAACAGTAACTTTCGTCACCGCGCGAAAGGCGGCGAAGCCGAAACGGTCTGAAACGGCGCAGAAACGTGGCCCGCGAAAGTCGATTCGCGTGGGAACGTCTGTCCCGCGCGGATCGAAAGAATCCAGCAGTCCGCGCGGAGTAACATCGTCAAATATCGCTTAAACTGAACGGTAATCGGATTGTCCAGTTGACCTTACCTCAGAACGCGAAACTTTTATGGCTGTTCGGAATACAGGATTTGCTTAGCTTAGCTATAGGTACCAACACGGGTACGTACTCATGATCAGTAATCATATTAAGCGCGTGTACAGGGTAATCAGATTAGCGGAGCTGGAGGTAATCCCGAAACTATTCTAAGTATGATTAGGCGTCCTTCTCGCAGCCTAGTCCAGTGCCAGTACCTGTACCCACTATTAAGATGACGATAATAGTTTGCCAACTACGCTGGCCTGCGAGGTTACCTGCCCTATGGGTTGCCTAATAATCCCTCTATGAGACTCTGATAACTTTACTACCCTTCCCGGATCAACGACGCGTGGACTATGTTCATAATGGAAATGAAGTATCTATTGATTCGAGACACGTTCATACGACCGGCCCGAGGGGATAGAATTATCAACGCCGGCCTCGTTCCCCCTTGTCGCCGTTATTTCGTTAGATTCTAATCCAGCCGGGTTTTTCTTTCCCGCGCGCAGGAATCGCCACGCAGACCATACTGACCATCCCGGTCAGCCATGTCACGAACAATCAAATGGTGAACCTCGCGCTGAGCAACGGCCAAGTGGTGTCCACGACCCTGGCCAACCTCCAGTCGATCGCCCAGCCTCAGACCATGTTGAACACGCCGACCAGCAACGGTGATTTCACAGGTAAGATTGAGACGTTCCGTGATGTACCTCTGTAATTGATCCTCGATTGGGAAGTCTCCGATCTATTCTCGATCGTGTCAACCGGGGACATGCTTGGAGCTGTTAACTTCGTTGGAAACAATAGTTTTGGTATAAATAGAGGACTGGAATCTATTTTTTCTTCTTCAATGAAATCTGTTGTGATCAATAGATAATAATTAAGATTTTGATATTTTTATAGTAGACTAAAAGGAAGTAGATCATTCGACTAAAGTGACATTGTATTTGTTAACCCTTTGAGTAACAAGGAGCGATATAATCATGCAGCACCGAGAAGTTTCTTTTTGATTTTATTAGTAATGGAAGCCTAACGTATTTTTATTATCGTATAAATGTTTCATGTACTTTAGATACAAAATTGACTGTTTTTCTTTATAATCATGCATCCGAGTTGAACATTGTCTGGCTTCTTAAAATGTTTCCTGGCACTCGAGACTAACGAAAAGACTATGATTTGTATTAATCACTTGGAAATGATCATTCTCTCAATTACAAATCTTGCTCTTTGTTCCTCCCCGCCACAGCACCAACAAGTACCAGTTTAGCACCGGGCCTAGGACTAAACCCAGCCGCGCTGTCACACCTTCTGGGCAACAGCTCGGCCAGCCAGCAACTTCTGAACGCGATACAGCCGCAGCAGTTGCTTCAGGCGGCGCAGGCGGCCCAGGCACAGGCGGCACAGGCGGCACAGGCGGCACAAGCTGCACAAGCGGTCCAGGCCGCTCAGGCCTCCCAGGAGCCGCTCCTGACGACGTCGCCTCAGCAATATAGCCATCGGCACACCTCTCACTTGAATCACTACACGGTACGTGGATGATCGACAAAAAGAAACTGTACGCTTTGCCCGATTTAATTGTACGGGACGAAGGATACGCGATGGCTTTAAAAGACATCGGCTTCCAGTTATGAAGTATAACTTGGTTGCCAGGGTGATCGGATTACGAACCTCCATGTCGACAGTAAATCCCGTTTAATAATTTAATCAGCGATAAATACGTAATCGTGTGAAACGTTCGCGCGGCGGAACGATGCCACGTTAAAAATGGAACCACAATTGAGCTCTGATGTATTCAACCCTCCGGCTTGCAAGACTTTGACTCGTTTCTAATTTCGTACCTCTGACTCGCTGGTTCGCGAGAGGACTTTTTAATAACATTTTCCGCGAAATTCACGCTGAACGTGAAAATTGTATGATTGAAGTATCATTAGAAATTCTATCGTAACGAATGTAATTATCTTTGACAAAAATCTTATTTAGCTTGTAATATTATATCGCTACCAATTAGAATATTAGTTTACAAAAATATTCCACGTATAATCTCTTAATCTATTCTCCAGAAATACGAGAATAATGTTAATTGATACGAAATAGGATTTCGAGGAATAGATACCAAAAAAAGAATCTTCAGTTTATATTATTTTATTACCAATTAGAATATTAGTTAACAAAAATATTCTATGTACAATCCTGTAAACAATTCCCGAGAAATACGGAAATAATGTTAATTCCAACGATCTCGATGAACACATACCGCAAGCGAAACTTGCGAATAATCTCCGAACAAAAATTCGCCATGACTGAACGTTCGTCCGATATTTAAAACCGTCCGATGGCCAATCACAGATTCCCCGACCCAATTCCATCTTCTTGATCCAGCGATCGTTCCGCGGAGTATCTAAACTCGGGTCCCGTTTCACTTATTCCATCCAATAAACCGTGCTCGCAGGACAATCAATGCAGTCGGAGCGTTTCCCTCGTTTGCCTCGATTATTACTTTCGGCCGGGCAGAATTCTGTCCCAGACAGGATTCTTTTCCCTCCCGAGGAATGTTGATTTGCCTCGGTTTCCGTCAATAACTGACACTCCTGCTCGACCGATATCCTCTTGCCCGTGCCCAATTGTCGCTTCATCCTCCACCGATCCTCGTCCCGTAACAATACGGGATCTCGAGCGTCGATACACGGGGAACGGGGGGGGAGAAACGTTGATCTCCGTGACGGCGGAGGAGCTAAACCGGGCGCAAGATCAGCGGAACAACCGGAATAATTCCCGATAGCAAGCGATCTCGTTAAGAAAGTATTCCGCAGCGGCTACGTTTTCTTCCACTAATTAGACTTTAAAGCGTCCCGATCCGCGAAAGGGGCCGAGCGGGGCGGGGGGATCGGTACGATGGATCCGGGGACTCATTATTAAGTGCATAATTGGCGTGGAAGAGGAGCATTGTCGTTCCTTGCTCAGCTGCTAATCCGTTACCTACCATCGGTTGTCCCTCGCAGCCGACGGAGAAGCATCACAGAGAGAGGCCGGAACAGTCGTCGCCGTTGAACGAGTCCGTGGTGTCCGCGGCGTCTGCGTTGAACCGACTCGCAGCCAGCAACGGCGAGATCACCATCACGACGACGCACGGACTCAGTAACACCGGCGGTGTTATAGCCTCGCCCAGCAGCATGCACAGTCCCAAGACGGACGAAGACGATCTGCTCAAGGATTCGCCCGGTAAGCTTGATTTTTCTTTGCAGAGGGTATCGGTTTACTTTTTAAACGTTTACGCGGCGAGGTTCACGTTCGTCCCGGTCGGTGTTTGTTCCGACGCTTGTTTGCGTTTGAACGATTCGTCTGGAAGGCTTGTTTTTATTTGGTATATCTCGATTTCTGTTTTTCGTTGTGGCTTGAATTTTTCATGTTTGATACCTTGTTCGTTGGGGGATTCAGTTGAACCTTTATTTTATTCGAAACGCAGTTCATTGAAAATGAACTGGTTAGTTTTAATTGCTAGTCTCGGACGAGATTTCTGGGATGACTTTTTATATTTGGTTTGATTTATTTTAGCGGGAGGAGTTATGTTTATCTTGTTTCGTGAATATTGATTTCGAAGTTTGGTTCGTTTGGGAATCTGAGCTCTGCGGCGTTGATATTTGGGTTTCTTGAACTTCGAATCGGTGTTTGCAGTTTTATAAGCAACGCGCTGATGTGTATGCACGGTCAGAAAATATTCAGCCGGAAAGCATACATTCCCCGGCCGCATTATAATATTAGCCACTTTTCGTAGCCGGCAGCCTCGAATCACGCTTCCTTCCTCCGCTGATTTAACAATTAACGCACGGTCGAAGCCGATAAATAATAATGTTCAAGGCTCCGGCGGCGCTATGAAGCGCTTAATAATTTTAATAGGATATCGTACAATGCTCGGCTCATTACGATGTATTAGATCGTTCCTTGCTGCCTTCTGGGAAGCCATAAAGATACCGACGCGGCACGTAACCTCCAGCCGGCAGACAATAATTTTAATAATTCGCATTCGTTCCTTCGATTGCCACTTCGACGATGGAATAATCGATGTATCCAGAATCTAACGAACTCGGCGCCTTTACTATTAAATCCTTCACATTTGTCCCCCTTTCTCTGAAACTTCTTTTAAAAACAGGAAATCGAATCTTCCAAAAACTATTAATTAAAAACAATCAGCATTTTTTTGCCCTTAGATAAACAATTACTTTGAACATGTATTAAACTCACCTTCAATCTGTGAATCATTTGAACGTTGCGAAAAGGGTCCCAAATTTCAAGTCCTCGAGTTGAGCAATAATTTTCACTCCAACGCCGACACATCAAGAATGGCCAAAATCTAAATTCCTATACGCCTTGAACCTTCATAAATCATTTCTTAAATGCCATTTCGCGTGAAGGTTCACAACCGAATCGTAAATAATCGAGTACTTTCTGCAAAAGTTTTCCAAATCTCCATTTAAGTCTTCTCAGTGCCTCGGTATCGCCGTAATTCCCAACAAAACTTCAGGATGTTCTTCGCTGAGACAAACTTGCGTCATTTCGATGTTCCGATTCGATGGAATCATCGTCGGGCTCCTCGAAGCGGGCCTCTCCTAGGCGAGCGAGCCGAGAGTCGCAGTTTTTGCGGAACGACGACGACCGGCCCGCGTTCGATCGGAAATTAATGATCGCAGAAACTGCGCGCGCCGCGGAAGAAGGATTTGCAGTTTATTGCTCGGCGCAGAAACCCGACGGACTGGTCGCGATTGCGGGGCATGTGGCCACCTCTATTGCGCGCGTATACATTCGGGGTGACAGATTTACGAGAGAAATCGGTGTAGCTCAAGCTGCTTTAACGAAGCCGCCTGATGTCATTAGGCAGCTTCCCGCGAGAGCTTCGGAGCATACCTGCGCGGATCGATTGTGACTCGGCTCTAATTCTTTCGCGGACTTGTTTAGACTATTCGTGATCCACGACGGCCGTGCTCCTGTTTCTCTTTTCGCGCTGGGAAATGCCATTCTGTCGCGTTGCTTAACCTGTTGACCGAAGATGAGGAGTGCTCTATACTCATCGAAGCTTTTGCGTAGAATGAATATACTCAATATATATGAAATGGATATATTTTTTAAATTATAGATATTATACCTTTGATTTTGTATTTTGTAAGAATGTAAGTATGTAAGTATCCAGAGTTCCATTATAACTCTTGGCAAAGGGTGCTTGCGAATTGTAACTTATTAGATTGGAGTTCGCAAATGAGCCAGTTGCAATTGGGATTGCAGTATTTTGTTATTTTAAAAGTATATATATACACTATATGTGGATTTTATTGTGTGATTAGGAAATATAGAAGAGACCAGTATAGATCGCAGTGTTCGATGATGAAAGGTTCACGCGTCATACCTCTCGATTTCGATTACAGACCAGCCGACTATCAACGAAGCCACGAGCAACATAGTGAACGGCTACAATCTGGACGAGATTAAGGAGTTCGCGAAGATATTCAAGCTCCACAGAATGTCGATGGGTCTGACGCAGACCCAGGTGGGTCAGGCCCTAAGCGTGACCGAGGGGCCGGCTTACAGCCAAAGTGCCATATGCAGGTGAGTGTCTCTGCACAGTTTGTCGTGTCCTTTATCTCGCAAAATCCAACGGACGTCGCGGATGAGAGCCCAAAGTTATGAAAGGAAAAAGATAAATGGGAGGAATAACGTAACGCGATAGTCTACGACGTAGTGTGCCAGGTCACTGGAAATGCCGTGGAAAAGGTCTGTCAGCCAAAACTGTACATCTCTGGACCACGAATGTATAACGATCATCTTCAGGGAAGAACATCATTACTGTTTTCTCCGTCGGTTTTTCAAATTCTGTTAATTCCACTTGACGGAGTCGGCTTCAACGAACGACTTTAGAGAACACTTTTTCTGACGTACGTTTCGCGTGTACCGTTTACGAAACACGAGAACGATTAAATTGACAGATCCCTGTGTTGCATTTTCTTACAAACGATTCAGTTGTTCTCGATCAGAGTATTCGGTTCGATCTCTATGTTCCATTCTATTTCACTGACATACGCTGTTTACGTTTAGAGCATACTTGTGTCCAATTTTGTCTAAGCTGAGAAAACTAGTACTCTCGGAATTGTACAGTATTCCCTCCAGCTGATTAATTTTCCTCGATTTCGTTGTAATCTCATCGCTATCCCCGCCACATCATCGAATTCACAGACAGTGGGCGGGGCTTGCTCCAGTTGTGTCAACGGCGAGTGCAGGGGATAGCGATGAACGAATCGGAAGAAGGACAGCAAAGTCAACTATCCGTCGAGCTGTTTCGGTATCGCGTCCGTTGCTCGTTAACAGCGTGTCGACAGTACGACGATTATTTCCTAACACACTTCCACGGAGAGGGAATACTGTATTCGCTATGTTCAGAGCAAAAGTCACTGGAATCCTTTAACGCGATCGTGTTTATCGAGAAATGTGTCAACCCGCCACATTGGTTACTCCATGGACAGAACAAAGATGTTTCTCTTAAATGTTGCCGAAGCACAGTTTCCGCCGTACCGGTGTGTTCAAGTGTCCGCACGCTTCTCTTCTCTTCCACGTCGGAACGAAAAAGAAAAAAAAAGAAAAAAAAGAAACTAGAGAAAAAAGAAACTGCAGAAAAAAGAAGGAACCACCGCGTGAACGCCGGAAACATGCTGTTCCCGCATCCTTCGAGTTCTTATCGTAACGACTAATATAAGCATTGGTGATTGTTCCCCAGTGCCCTGGCTACCCAGATGTATGCTGCCTCGCAGATTGCCTCTCAGCAGCAAGTAACGTACGTTCACCCCTCATGCTACTTAATTTACCTAAAGAATCGAGAAACTTTTGTCAAATCCTCTCCGGCGGAACGGCAGTTATACCCAAGCATGCGAGTCCGAGACACATTGTTGATCATTCGCGCGGCTCGCGTCGTTGAACCAATACGGCGAACACAACGGTTCGCCGATTCGCAAAGGGAGAGTCGACGATCGATCGATCTTCTCTCGAATTTACCTTCCTCCGTTCCATCGACGTTAAGGGGAGCTTTCGTACCTTTAATCTTCGGTTTACTCTATATTGTCTTTCCAGCCAGTCGTCCGTCGATCCGTTTCGCTTTTTCGATATCCTTTGCGATATCCCCCCCTCTCGCCCGTTAATTAAGTCCGCTAACAACCGATTAATGACCGGGGCATATTTGGGTATAGCTGCAAGCGATCCCGCCGATTCCTTAACTCCGTTTTTGGAAAAGAGAAAGGAGCACTGTATTTTCGAAGTTCGTGAC